AAAATTCAGCTGAACTAGCTCTAGTATAGGCTAAGGGTTCCAGGGTCCCAGCGGCACATCCCCACCCAGAAATTCCCAAAGTACCCCCCCCCCGAGAGTTTGTTACAGTATGTTGCTATCAAAGATGCTTTAGTTACTGTTTCCATCTATGTAAGTTTCTTTCAGTAACTCCAGGTGTAAGCTCCTGGCATGGTAGACTCTAAAACTGCCTTTATACCAGTGATCAGTTTTCCAGTAAATGGTACCTCACTGTAGACTAAACTTTCTAATTTCTCAATAAACTGCTTGATAGAACTAAGAAGTACCAAGTACCAATAACTAATGAGAGTATTCCCTCCAGGGGGTACTCACAGTATACATTATGGGGGGTCCGACAGAGCTTCATATTGTGAACCCCAAAAAATACATGGGCCTGGAATTTTACACCCGAAAAAATACCTGGCATCAAAATTTCCTACCCAGAAAACCCCCAAAACCTCAATACTGATTTATTCAATCAAACAGACTCTCGATCTAAGTTATGCATGATTTTGCATCAATAAGCTAATGAAATTGGTATGTCCGTCAATGTCTCTTCATCCTCCCTTGTGCTCCAAGTTTGAATGAATAATTTTCTGATCCCATGATTGCAACAAAAATTTTGCTCAGAGATATGTAAACCCAAAAAGTATGCATATTTTTTAAGGCCTAAAAAAAATATGTGACAGATCTCTTGACCCAAAAATATACCAAGGATGAAAATTTTCAACCCAAAAATATACATTGGACCCCCCCTGTCATGTATACTGCGAGTACCCCCCTGGGGTATTCCCTCAACATTTTCAATGGGCATCTATACTATAGACAGTGTCTGACTGGACGTCTCTCAGACATAAAAATTCAAACAAAGCAGCAAACAGTGGAGTGCTTTGGTTGAATCTCTGATGCCTTTCAGCCAGGAAAAGAAATAAAAAAAGCATAAACAGACAACGGTTATTTGAAATAGACTTATGGTTTGTGTAAGATCTTGAGCTCTAGCGGAAATACTGGAAATAATGATTCACCACGGCTTAGTTTTGAAATTTGAAGTGTATAAGGGCAAACCTTTTTAGTGCCATGATATCAATTTCAATTATTGAACCAATCATTTGAGGTAAAAATTGAGATGGCATTATTATGTTACAATGTTGTCTCTCCGGTAAGCAAAACTAAGAGGTTGTCATGACACTGGTATCACTGGCTGGATGTTATGGTTACAATATTGATTTTCTTAAATCGAGACCCTGGAATCAAATTTTAAAATATATTTATTCTCTTCAGACATGCTCAACTTTATTTTTCAGAAAGTTCAAAATCTCAACCTTTTGTAAAAAAATATGTAATTTATAAACGACATGATAATTACACCACGCAGTCTAACGCAGTCTAATGCAGTCTTTTGATATTTTAAAAATCTCACAGATAATTTGTCAGTAAGCTGTATTATTGTCTTGGCTCTTTTCTGTTCCCTTTCTCTTCAGCTCTTCCATTTCTTTAACTAGAAAGTCTATTGGTTTTTCTGGTCTTTTAAAGACAAGCTTAGCAATTAAGTCCTGGAAAAAAGAAAGATGAAAAGAACATAAATTCAATTTTTTTTTGCGCATGAATGCACAGTAAAGACCCGGAGGGGAAAGGGATACAGGTTTGGTTATAGGGGTGCTACTTAAAGCACTTAATGACTGGGCTCAAGGGAAACAGTGAATTTTGTTTCCCTGAGACTCTCAAGGTTCCCCAAGGAGAAGCTGTCAGGGATACATTGAGGGTCAAAGGGAAACAAAACTCACTGTTTCCTGTGAGGCCAGTCATTAAGTGCTTTATTATACTTTCAAACTCACAGACCAAACTGCGAAAAATTATTTGCTTAGCCTTCGCTGGCACACACATTTGCTGAAGTTTCAAGGTGCATGACCCGATCACGTGTGAGTTGAAAGTTCAATTTGCTGTTTCCCCAGCCTGCGTTGCAGACAGAAACTTACTCGTATATAACCATCTGCGAATTAGGGCACAAATCCTTGTCTGAGACCCCCAATGTACTACTAGGATCTGAGTAGTCATGTGTGATTGGTTTCTTCATAAAGCAATTGTTTAACTGGCAATAAATCGATCTCATTGGGTATAAGGGAATCTCCCATAACTATAACTGAAAAGGATCCCGTGTGAGAAGTACTTAGAACGCAGCTTTTGAAGCGATGAAATCTTGGTTTGAAGTGACCAATCTCCACCCTGATCATTCTTCCAAGAGAAAAAGTGTTTTTTAATCTACCCACCAGCTTTGGAAAGCTCTTAACATTTCAGTGATCATCACAGACATCTGAAATAACAAACCCCATGGTCCAAGCGGCCGTTGTGATTGCTGATGGAGAACTAGGTACTTCAAGTCTTTGACCAATTTGGGTATTCCAGCTATTTCCATCACGAGTGACAAAAACCCAGAGATCATTCAACAGGTTTTAAATGAAAACTTCATTTTGGTGTTTGGTTCGTCTGAAAATATTTTTTTAATTGCGCTAAATTACACAGACTCCTACAGTTCGTGACATTCTTTTTTTGGATTTTGGTCTCAACCTGTTTTTGCTTCACACTTGTTTGTGAAGGTCATTTCATGCTGTCTTATTAGGAGAACTTTTATGCTGAGTTGAGCCGTTTGACCATTTGGTATGCATTAAAGGTCTGCATGGTTTCCATTTTTATCTGTTGCTTTGTATTTTTTAACACCTCTATAAATTTTTTGCAATAATATTTTCTTGTGTGTGGGCTCTGCGGGAGTATCAGCAATAGCCAATTAGGATTGAGAAAGATTTCAAAAGCAACTTCCAGTGTTTGTTTTCTTCATCAGGGGTCTAGAACAAGGATTTGTGTGCTACTTCGCAGATGCTAGTAACCCGCGATGCAGGCTATTGTTTCCCTAGCGAGTTAGTGAGTTTTGCTTGCCCTAGGGAGTTAGTGAGTTTTGCTTGTTCTAGGGAGTTAGTGGGTCTTGACCCATGACACGTGACATATTATTTGCCAGATTGCTGAGTACTGTATAGGTGATTAAAAAGTAAATCAGAGCTGTAAAAAAAAGCTTTAGCTTACTTCTAAAAGTTGTAAAATTTCTGTTTCCTCGAGATATTTCGTCGCTTTAACTCGAGGCTCTCCGACATCTGGCAAATGGTCGACTTTAATAGCTTCCTTCAATTCATCCAGAAAGTGTTTTCCAATCTTTTTGCACTCTTTAAAGCTGTAAGTATCATCCTGCTGATCTTTTTCAATTATTTCGATGGAGTCAACGTCAACTGTCAGTTTCGTCGCCATTTTTATTGTTTTGGCGCCTCGTTTTCATGCTGGCGGAGAAAGCAACGCCTGGTGATATTTTGACTTGAGCTCAAAAAAGCGAAAGTGGTACTTGAAAAAGCGTTACAATGTTGAAATTTCTGCTACTTGTGAACAAGCAAGGGCATACTCGGGTTTCCCAATACTATGAATACTTGGAACTTGAAGAAAGGACGAATTTGGAGGCCGAAATAACGCGAAAATGTTTGGCACGAAGCGACGATCAGGTGACGAATGACATTGATCTTGATGTGGGGTCCTTTTCACGGTTTCTGGCGCCATGTTGGTTGAGGGGTAAACACGGAAAAAATTGCTGTAAATACAGTGGAAAAGTAGGGGAATTAGTGTCTAATAGTTCAGGGAATATTGGAATCATGATTCGAAATATCTGCGAATTTAATACTAACTATACCAAGTCAGAGAATTAATTTTATACTGATAAACTATTTGGAAGGATACAGTCCCTAGCGGGGGGGGGGCACTGCCATATATGGGCTATATAGGTAGGTATTTGCAGCTGTGAAGGGTATGTTTTTCAAGCAGTTTACTCTAGGATAGGGTATATAAATCAGAGTGTTTGGGTCTAGAATAGGGTATAACTTTTCACAAAACTGACTAGTTGGTT